GTTTCTGAGAACGGAACCGAGCAACTTCTTTGCTCGAGCTGACGGCAGCCAGCTTCGAAACGGAAAATAAGAATTCCGTAACGGATCGAAAAAGAAGCTCGAACTCGATCCGATGAGAAACTGTTGTGGCACGTGAGCAAAGGAAATAAAAGGTGAGGTTTCATGGAATATCGGTGAAGTAATTACAGGACATCGTCGCGAGGGGATTAATTCGAATTATACGATTCCACCTTGAATATAATGTTACGCGTTGCATCGTTCGCTTTCTTTCGTTCTCCGTCCAGTTTCTCCGTCCCTTTCTCGTGATGAATCGCAAGAAGGTCAGCGAGTCGAAGGTTTCTTGTACACTTGGCGTACAATTTATACGCCTCTACAGGAATATATATACTTTTTCATTCGAGTTGTTTTTAAACATGGAATATTTTTTAAAATTTATGTCGATTGAAAATAACATGGGGCGAGATTAAATCATTTGTGTTACATCATTATATATATATATATATTTTTGTATTTTTTGTTTAACTCAAAAATTTCATATCTTAATCGAAAGTATATTGATTCATAATCATTTTTATCGTTTAATATTTACATCGAATATAAAGTTTTGAAATAATCTACTTTACTTATCGCCGCTTCACTCTTTCTTTCGATCAGTGTTCAAAATAATTAAAGTTTCCACTTCGTGCAAAAATAAAAGATAATGAGACGTGAGGAAAGTCTATAGAGTCTGGCTCCTATTTCGACTTTTACTCGCGGAAAATGCGTTCTTATTCTCTTGGCGTTGGGGATTGGAATACGATTGGAATATTTCCTCGCAGAAATCGGGTTGGTCGTCACGTTGGTCGGATGGATCGCAAACATCTCCAGCTGACATACGCGCGAACACGTGCATGTCTTCTCCGTGCTTCTCGCCTCCACGCCGCGACGCTTCTTCCATTTCTTCTTCGTTGTCTGGTGCGCTTCTTTCGGCGCGAACTTGTGCCCGCCAGTATCGTTCGAAACAGCCGCCGCGAAACAGCGCTCGGCGACTCGATTTCACCCGCGAAACGATCCCCCGAATTTCATTTCTCTCCCCTCGAGTCAAAGAGAATAAAATAAAAGAGGGGGAAAATTATTTCGTATTTCGGCCAAGTGTTTGAAAATTGTGAGAAATAAATGTGAATGATCGAGTGTCGAGTGCGAACGTCGAAGAAAAGAAGAGGAAAATTATTATTCTTTGCAAGTATCGAAATTGAGGATATAAAAAACGTGAAAAATCGAAATCAGAGGAGGGGAGAAAAAGAAGAAGAATCGAGGAAGAGTCGTTGCCTCGTTGATCAATTAATCCGCGGATGATTCGAGTTGTCGGTGTGTACACGCGAGTTATAAAAACGTGAAGCGAAGATTAATTTTATTAATCGTTTTTTTCTCTCCCTATTCTTAATCTCGTGTAGAACAACGATAAATTCAATTGGAACTTCTCTGTATACTCTTTGAAACGTTTCCATGCTTACTCTCTTCGAAGAAATATTTAATCAGAGCTTTCTAACGCCAGCATTTTAAATAGCCAAACATTTTCTTCGTTTTTTTTTTTTTTATTTATAGAAAGCGTTTCCAAATCGCGTTGATACGCGTTGGATCACGAACGAAGTAGTTTGTCTTCTCGAATATTAAGAGTCATCGAACGATTATTAAAGGAGGCGGACAGCGTGGTGGAGGGTGGGGGGCGAGGGGCGCGGAGTGGAGAAGATAAAGAACGAATAAAAAAGCCTCGACGTTTCCTATGTAAGCAACGTACGTGTCTGAAATACGCGAGGAGGAGGAGGAGGAGGAGGAGGATCGGCCACGCATACGTCGACATTGTTTCGCGTGCTCCTCGCCCCGCCTCCCCCCATTACGCCGTGCCTCTTTGAATTTCGATCGTGCTCGAAATCGCGGGGAGGGACGCCCCTCTTCCCTTGATGAATTTGTTTATTATTTCAAGGAAACAAGGTGTTGGTAGCTCGTTTAGGAGGCTCGTTTAAAGTGTTTGGAATTTTTGGAATGGAGAAGTACTGTTGTAAATAAGATGCTTATTCTACGTGAAGTATTTTAGATCCTCGATGGAAAGCTTATGTAATTGATTGATTTAAGAGATTTTTCAAGCGTGAAAAATTTATGTATCTTTCTCTCTCTTTCTTCAAAGAGAGAAAAAATTTGGGATTTGAATGGAAAAGGGTTTAGATTTTCGAGAAAAAAAATTTATACGTTCTTTTTTTTTTGAAAAAGTTTAAAATTTAAGCATTGGAAAAGGAACGTTGAAACTTGAACAGATGAAGAAATATTGTTGTAAATGAGATATTTGATCATTTAAAATATATTAAATATTAAATATCGTTGTAAGTGTGGAAATTTATACATGTTTCTTTTCGAGCAATCTTCCTCTTTCTTCAAATCAAAAAGAGAAAAAATTTGGGATTTGAATGCTGGAAAAGGATTTTAGATTTTCGAGAAAAAAAATTTGTAAATTTATTCTTCTTTTTTTGAAAAGTTTAAAATTTAAATATTGGAAAAGGACGTTGAAACATTCGAGTAGACGAAGAAATATCGTTGTAAATGAGATATTTGATTATTTAAAATATATTAAATATTAAATATCGTTGTAAGTGTGAAAATTTATATTTGCTTCTCTTCGAGCAATCTTCCAAAAAAAAATTTGGGATTTGAATGCTGGAAAAGGATTTAGATTTGGGAGAAAAAAAATTTTTAAAGATTGATTCTGAGGAGATAATAGATCGATTTTACTTATTTAAAATCTGAATATTGGAAAAGGAGGTCGTAACTCGAGTAGTAAGGTGGAGAAGTAAGAGTTGTAAATAAGATTCTTATTCTTCGTGAAGTAGTTTGGATCGTCGATGAAAATTTTTATATATATATATATATATATATATATATATTATACATTTACTTTTAA